TTTACAAAAATCACAAATAGAAGAGGACCCAGGACAGATCCTTGTGGTACACCACTCGTAACTGAGCACCTTGTTGAATATAAGATAACAAGGTGCAGAGCTGGATGAACACAGCAGGCCAAGCAGCATCAGAGGAGCAGGAAAGCTGACATTTCGAGCCTGGACCCTTCTTCAACGATGTTGAATATTTTCCGTCCACTACCACCCTTTGTCTTCTAAGGGTCAGCCAATTCTGAATCCGATCTGCCACATTTCCCCCTATCCCATGCCTCCTTACCTTCTGCATGAGCCTACCATGGGGAACCTTATCAAAAGCCTTACTTAAATCCATGTATACCACATCCACTGCTCTACCTTCATCCATGTGTTTGGTCACCTCTTCAAAGAATTCAGTAAGGATTGTGAGGCATGATCTACTCCTCACAAATCAAACTGTGCCTATCCAAGTGATCATAAATCCTATCTCTCAGAGCCCTTTCCAATAATTTGCCCAGCACTGAAATAAGACTAACTGGCCTGTAATTTCCGGGGTTTTCCCTATTCCCTTTTTTGAACAAGGGAATGACATTTGCCACTCTCCAATCTTCCGGCACTATACCCGTGGACAGCGAGGACGAAAAGATCATCGCCAAAGGCCCTGCAATCTCTTCCCTCGCTACCCATAGAATCCTTGGATAAACCTCATCAGGCCCGGGAGACTTATCTATCTTCAAGTTCGGCAAAATTCCTAGTACATTTTCCCTAATAATATCCACCTCCTCTAGCCTACCAGCCTGTTTCACACTGTCCTCCACTACAACTAGGTCCCTCTCAGTTGTGAATACTGGAGAAAAGTATTCATTAAGGACCTCTCTTATCTCTTTAGATTCCGTGCACAAATTCCCTTTACAATCCTTGATCGGCCCTACCCTTTCTCTGGTCATTCTCTTATTCCTCACATATGTGTAAAAAGCCTTGGGGTTTTCCTTGATCCTATCTGCCAAGGTTTTCTCATGCCCCCTTATAGTTCTCCTAAGCCCTTACTTCAGCTCTTTCCTGGCTGACTTGTATCCCTCTAGAGCCTTTTCCGATCCTTGTTTCCTCAACCTTATATAAGCATCCTTCTTCCTCTTAACTAGTCATTCGACTTCTCTCGAGAACCAAGGCTCCCTCACTTGACCGCATCTTCCCTGCCTGCTAGGGACAAACATAGCGATCACACACAGTATGCATTCCTTAAACAATCTCCACATTTCTATAGTGCTCTTCCCTGACAGCATCTGTTCCCATTTTATGTTTACCCAGTTCTTGCCTAACAGAATTATAATTACCCTTCCCCCAATTATAAACCTTACCCTGCTGTATGTACCTATCCTTTTCCATGACTATTGTAAAAGCAACAGAGTTATGATCACTACCACCAAAATGCTCTCCTACCAACAGGTCTAACACTTGGCCCAGTTCATTGCCAAGCACCAAATCCAAAGTGGCCTCTCCTCATGTTGGTCTATCTACGTACTGTGTCAGGAATCCTTCCTGAACGCACTGGACAAAATCCGCTCCAACTAAACTATTACAACTAAAATGTTTCCAATCAATATTTGGAAAATTGAAGTCACCCATGACTACAACCCTGTGACTTCTGCACCTTTCCAGTATCTGCCTCCCAATCCGCTCCTCCACTTCTCTGCTACTATTAGGGGGTCTGTAAAAAACCCCCAACAAAGTGACTGCTCCTTTCTTGTTCCGGACCTCAACCCAAACTGACTCTATAGACATATAATTCTCGAACTGCCTTTCAGTCGCTCTATACTGGCCCTGACGAGCAATGCCACTCCCCCGCCTCTTTTCCCATCCCCCCTATTTCTTTTAAAGCATCTAAATCCCAGAACTTCCAGCAATCATTCCTGTCCCTGAGCTACCCAAGTTTCTGTAATGGCCACAACATCGTAGCTCCATTAACTGACCCATGCTGTAAGTTCATCTGCCTTATTTCTGATACTTCTAGCATTGAAGTATACACACCTCAAACCATCTCTGTGTCCACAATTACGCTCCATTGGCCGCATTTCTTTATTAACAACCTCACTCCCTGTTGTGTCTGTTGGAAGGCTGAATACCTCATCCTCTGAATTACAAATCTGGTTCCCCACCCCCTGCCAATCTAGTTTAAACCATCCCGTATAGCTCTAGCAAACGTCCCTCCCAGGATATTTGTGCCCTTCCGGTTCAGGTGCAACCCGTCCTTCCTGTCCAGGTCCCACCTTCCCCAGAATGTGCTCCAATTATCCACATAATGGAAGCGCTCCCTCCTACACCAGCCCTGTAGCCATGTGTTTAGCTGCACTCTCTCCCTATTTCTTACCTCATTATCACGTGGCACTGGTAGTAATCCAAGGATAACTACCCTGTTTGTCCTGGACTTCAGCTTCAAACCTAACTCCCTGTACTTGTTTTTCACATTCTGTCCTTTTTCTACCGATGTCATTGATATCGATGTGTACCATGACTGCTGGCTGCTCACCCTCCCCCTTAAGGATCTCGAAGACACGATCCGAGACATCACGGACCCTGCCACCCGGGAGGCAACATACCATTCGTTCGTCTCGTTCGCGTCCACAGAACCGCCTGTCTGTGCCTCTTACTATTGAATCCCCCACCACAATTGCTCTCCTATTCTCCCCCCTTCCCTTATGAGCCACAGAGTCAGACCCTGTACCAGAGTCCCACTCCCTGTGGCTTACCCCTGGTCGGTTCCCCCCCCTCCAACAGTATCCAAAACAGTATACTTATTGTTGAGGGAACCACAGGGGATCCCTGCACTGACTGTTTGCTTCCCTTCCCTTTCCTTACTGTCGCCCAACTGCCTTCGTTCTTAGGGGTAACTATGTCCCTGTAGCTGGTTTCTATCACCCCCTCAGTCTCCCGAATGATCCTGTGTTCATCCAGCTCCAGTTCTGGTTCCCTAACGCGGTCTTTGAGGAGCTGGAGCTGGAGCTGGGTGCACTTCCCACGGGTGAAGTCAGCAGGGTCACTGCTGTTGACTGTTACCTCCCACATCCTGCAGGAGGAACATTGCACTGCCCTGACTGCCATCCCCTCTAAATTTAAACTTCCCCGATGATAGTTGATGGGAAGGGGATGTGACAGGGTTTTTAAGAGGGGATAAATGGAGTGCTGAGGCTCCACCCTATCAAACTCAGCATGTCTGGCAGCATCTGTGGAGAGAAAGCGGAGTTAGCGTTTCGAGTCTAGTGACTCTTCATCAGAACGTGTTAATTCCGCCACCTCCAGCGACAAGCCACCACCAGATACACATTCCCCTCCCGTCCCCACCCTTCCTGTGTCAGCCTTCTGCAAGGACCATTCCCTCTGGGACACCCAGGTCCACTCCTCCTCCACTCCCAATGCCCCATGGCACCTTCCCCTGCAACTGCAGAAGGTGTAACACCCGCACAAAAACAGAAAAACTCAGAGAAGCTCAGCAGGTCTTGCAGCATCTGTGGGAAGAAAGCAGAATTAACACGTTCTGATGAAGAGTCACTAGACTCGAAACGCTAACTCCGCTTTCTCTCCACAGATGCTGCCAGACATGCTGAGTTTCTCCAGCTATTTCTGTTTAAGTTTCAGATCTCCAGTTCTATGTTTAATCTTAGTGTAACACCTACCCTTTTACATCCTCCCTCCTCGCTAACCAAGGCCCCAGACACACTTTCCAAGTGAAGCAGCGATTTACCTGCACTTCACTCAATCTAGTCTACTGTATTTGCTGCTCACTATGTGGTCTCCTCCACATTGGGGATACGAATGCACACTGAGTGACCACTTTGCAGCACACCTACGTTCTAGCTGCAAAAATGACCTTGAGCTACCACTTGAGCCTGCCACTTCAACACACCACCCTGTTCCCTGGCCAACATCTCTGTCTCAGGCTTGCTGCAGTGTTCCAGTGAAACTCAGTGCAAGCTGGAAGAACAGCACCTCAGGTACTGCTTGGGGACCCTGCAGACTTCAGGGTTCAATATCGAGTTCAACATTATTAGAGCCTCCTTCCATGTCCTTTACCCACCCCCACACCTCTGGCTCTGTCATGACATGGACTGCTTTCAGTACAGCCAACCCATTCTTACTCACTTATGGTCCCTGGCTTACCATTATCCATCCCTTTGTCTACCTCTCCAGCTGCTGGTCGCTCCTCTGCCCCGATTTCAACGTATATACTACTTTTTCCTAGCTACCCAGCAGTTCTGGAGAAGGGTCACTCGACCCAAGACGTTAATTCTGTTTCTCTCTGCACAGATGCTGCCAGCCCTGCTGAATTTCTCCAGCACTTTCTGCTTTTGTTCTATATTAACAGATTGTCTGAAACCAAAGTGTACACACGCTTAGGAGAAAGTGGAAGATTAGTGAGTGACTAATACTGAAACACCATTGCGGACTTGTCTGTACAAGGAACCACTGCACTGTGGATAAAAAAGTACTTCGAACTTGATCCAATCTTTCCCAGATCCCACACCCTAAATCAATAATCCAGACACTGTAACTCCATAAAATAGTCATGTCAGCAATGAACAAGAGAAACTGGGGAGCAATACAGAAGTGAAGTCGTCCCAGAGGCAGAAAAGTTTTTAAAAAGTTTTCAAAAGTAATGAAAAGTCGTACTTTTGTTTTAGAAAAGAAAAGCTCACAAGAAACTTTCCCAAACTTATGACTTTAGTGAAAAATAATCTTTAGGTTAGTGTTCTGCCCACCTGTAAAATGATTTAATCCTAAATTTGCAATCTGCAATCTTCTCTCGCTCCCGTCCAATCCTGACCACCCTGCACCCCCCACCGCCCCACCTCTCCGTCTCTTGTCAGTCGCCTTCCACAGTTCTAGAAAGTTACATTCAGACAAGAGGAGGAACAGAACAGGAGTTTGCTAGTTATACCCCGTCTCCAGCCGCTTTCCAGGCCGTAACAGTCCCTCCTTCACCCCTCCTTATCCCATTCAAGATTCCCCACCACTTTGTTTTTTCTTACCCAGCCCTCGGCACGGAGTTCCGCTTCAGAAGGGCCTCTGAGATTCCCCGCGGTGGGCAGTCAGCACTACAGAACGCAGTTGCCAGGGACAGAAACTTTTCTCGGGAGTTTTGGAGGCTAGAAGTTGCAGGGAGCGAGCCCAGCAGGGACTGGAACTCGGCTTCCGGGTTAGAAACTGACACACGCCGGCTCCTCCCGCAGGGAGAGGCAGCATCCTCACAGGCACCAGAAACTGACACCCCCAACCCCCACTAAAACGCACTGTCAGCACGACGGCAATAGCTCCCAGCTGGCTCTGAGCAGGACAACAGGCTAGAGGAAACACGCACACGCAGGAATATACAGTCACACACATAGACACAGACACACAGGAATGTACAGACATATGCACAGGAATATACAGACACACAGGAATATATAGGCACACAAAGACACGTGGGAACATACAGACACATACACAGGGTCAGACAGGAATATACAGTCACACACAAAGACACTGACACAGGAATATACAGTCACAAAGACGCTGATGCACAGGAATATACAGGCACACACTCAGGAATATTCAGAGACATAGATACACTGACACACCTGAATACACAGACACACACAGGTACTGACACACAGGAGTATACAGATAAACATAGACACTGATGCACAGGAATATACAGACACACTAAGACACTGACACACACAAATATACAGTCACCCACAGACACATACACACAGGAATATACAGTCAC